TCTTAGCTTTTTCTGCAGATCATAGAGGCTTTCCAGTATATTGGTGGAGTTGCTGTCAGAACAATTGGAAAAAAATGAACTTTCCTGAGCAACCAAGTAAATTGTGGTTGGTTGACTGTGTTGTAATCTTAAAGGGTGTGTAACGTCAGGGCCCAGGAGTAGGGAAATGCAGGAAGTGAATGTTTATATTGTGTTCGTTGTGTATCTGCTAGTTCAGAAATGAATCACTTTCTTTTTTTATCATTGCCCAGGATACTGATGCAGAGGTGAAAAGCCTTTTGGGGTCAGAACACTGATTTGCTGCTTTGCAGTTGGCTATCTCTGGGTTTGCAGCAGGTTATAGAGTGATTTTTTTAATTTGTTTTTTTAATCTTTATTCCAAGTGACATCAGTATTCTGACAGTAACAGGGCATGTTTCCAGACTGACGTCTTTGATCAGCTAATCGGTTTGATAGAACAGAGACATTCCCAACAGAGCACAAGGCACTCAGGATTCTTACAGATACTCATGTGTAGGTCATGCTAGGAAGAGTTAGGGCTAAGCTCTTTGAAAGGCACCATGTGAACCCTGTGTTCTGAAAGAGTAACTAAAATGAGGCAATATGTAAGAAAAAAAAAATAAATTCAAAATTCTTAGTAAACAGGAAAGTACCTGGGAGAAATAAAGACAGTTACTAAGCAGTCCTCTTTCTATTTAAGTTGAACAGCTTCTTCAGAAGGAAATACAGAAAGGGAGTGTGAGTCTTATCTCCCCAGCACATTGTTCCTTTCTTTCTTGTGGTAAAATAGATTGGTATTGAGCCCATCATTGGGGTGGGAGAAGGGGCTCAGATGACTGTCTATATTTATCCTCAGTCTCTTTAATTTTGGTTATTATTTTAGCTTTTTTATTAAAGAATAATGCAATTTGCACAGGTTCTGTTTTCATAATGAATGCTAATTTTTTTTGGGGGGTGGTTTTTTTTTTGTTTTTTTTTGTTTTTTGTTTTTTTTTGTTTTTTTGTTTTTAGTACTCCTTGAAGAGATCTGTGGTAGCTGATCTCTGTTCTGACAAAAGACATACCACTCTAATGAGTAGTCTTCCTTTAGGGCTACGTTGGGGTTTCAGGGATGTTCTTTATTTATGTAGGTCTTTGCTGTATTTGTCAGCCTCCTCTAACAGTCCTCTGACAGCGCTCTAATTTAACTGAGCCTTCAGGCAAGAGAAGGCTTGGTTGGTTTGCATGTTACAAGTGTGTGACTTGAGTAACAGCAGGCTGTGTGAAATAGGTTGGTCTCAGTTCTGATGTGAGTGCAGAGAATTCCACAGGGCATCATCTGCGTGGGGCATTCATGCTCCATGTGCTAAGTCTTCTGTCAGGAAGTACACCTTCCAGCATAAAGTTCTGGATGCGTCAGTGAAATGGTGATGCTCAAACTCTTCTTGCTGTACTTTTCTGAGTTTGCAGAAGTCCTCATTCTTGGGATAAAAGCCCTTCAAGTACTAAGCATCATTTGAAAAGAAAAATGTTTAACCTTCTTTTAAAGGTCGTTATACAACATAATGTTAAAAGCTTTTTTACTCTTGAGAACTCTGTAGCAGTAGCTCTTGAAGATGGGTATTTTGGGAGGACACTAATCAGAAAGGTCAACAATGGGTGATTTTTTAAATTTTTGGAGTTTTTTATACAATTTTTTCCCTCACCTTACGGAAATGTGGACTTGTGCTGAGTCCTTGCCATGTCGTCCATTATAATAAATGAGTCACAAAATGAAATACTATAGTTTTCTGCTTACTCTGGATGGGTTTTCCTTGCCTTCTTTAATGTCAACATAGAGGTTGTAGTGCAGTATATTACTGTTTTCAATGTTATGGTTTTAACTAATGGAAGAAAGGGAGAAGCCCTGAAGTTACATCAGGTCTCACTGGAACTAATAGTCTGACAGCCTTGAGACTTCTGGCAGTTTTTAACCTTGCACTATCATCTCTCATCTGCTCCTTAAATGTTTTTCAGATTCACTCCCACTGTAGGTACAGTGTGGAGATGGGGGGACAAGGGATTTACTGCAAACTGTAAGAACTCCTCAGTGGTGGTGGGCATCAGTGAGTTGTTCTGAGTTGTTCTGAGAGTTTAAGGACAAAGGCTAAACTAATGGCTCTTACGGTCCTGTATACTTGAGAGTGTTGTCTTTCAGTTGGTTACTTTCCAGTGGACTGCACATCTGTGGTCAGCATTTGCTGCTCTTGGCTGTAGTGTGGAATTAAATACCATCAGGATTGAGCAGTTGCCTTCAGAAGCGTTGTTTCCCTTATTCTTTCTGTTGCCTGCTTGCTTTTTTGAAAAGTGTGTTCCACTGAGTAAAATTAATAGCACTATTTTTTTTTTTTTTTTTTTAAGACTGTATATTTAAGTCTGATTCTAAAGTGTCTTTTGTTTTCCTCTGCTGCATGCAGTACTATTCAGCACTGCTGAGGCCACAGCTGGGGCCCTGAATCCAGTTCTGGGGTCCCCAGTACAAGAGAGACATGGACATACTGGAAAGAGCACAGCGAAGGGGGTCACAAGAATGATTAAGGGTTTGGAGCATCTCCTCTGGGAGAAAAGGCTGAGAGAGCTGGAACTCTTTATCCTGGTGAGGAGATCACCGGGATATCATCAATGTAGATGGATTCTTGAGAGGAGGGTGCAAGGTGAGCGGAGCCAGGCTCTTCTCAGTAGTGTCCAGGAGTAGGAACAGAGGCAGTGGGGCCATAAACTGAGTAACAAGAGGTTCCTCTGAACATCAGGAAACACTTCTTTGCTGTAAAGGTGATTGAGCACTGTCTGAGGTTGCTTGGAAGAGGATATGAATTCTTTGTGGAGATCTTCAAAAGCTGTCTGGATGTTGTCCTGTACAACCAGCTCTAGGTGGCCCTCTGCTTGAGGCCCTGCTGACCTCTGGGTGTCCTCTCTGACGTAACCCCAGCCTTTCTGTGATTCTGTAATAAATATCCTATTTATGTTCCTTGTTAAACGTCAGAACCGGTTTTGTTTTCACCACCTTGGCAGCAGTAGCCAGTGAAATCTCATGACCACTTCCGCAGATGGGAGAAGGATTTATCCCTTGTATTATTTTTGTGAAAGGGCTGCCTCATCCTGATTTTCATGCGGAGAAAGATAACTTCAGCCTCTGTCTGAAAGGAGACCTGTGACTTGTTTATGGATCCATCATAGGCTAATACTGATGTTGCAAGAGAAGGAATGCTGGGTATCAATGGGCCTCAGGAGTGGACTGAAGTCTGCAGATCATTCCCATAGCTGCTTGTCCTGGAGCAAACAGAGGCTATCTCATCCAGCAGGCAGAAATTATTTAAATGGCTTTGAGGTTATTTGCCTCATACCCGCTTTTCACCTGTGGTCAGCTGCAAGAACTGAGGCCAAAGAAGACGTGTTTCAATGGAACAGGTTCCTTGTGTCAAACCAGGCAGAAGTTCTGCTGCTGATTGGAGCAGTTGGTATATGAGACCTTTTATCAGGACCTTTTGTGGGGAAATTGTGATAATGATTTGGGCCTTGATGCTATTTAACCATAAAGTACAAGCAGCAGAGTTGTCTGACAAGTACTCTCTGTTTCTAATTGTACCTTTAACATACTTTAAGAAGTTAACAGCTCACATAAACAAATCTTCAGTACTCACTCCAAGAGTTTAAAAAGGGCTGTTAGGCATCAAAGGTGCTACTCTAGGGATAGAGACTTACTTTTTTGAGTGAGTCATGAAAACACTGTGCTAACATGCTACGTAGTGAAGGAAAAACACTCTATAATCCCGTTTGTTACTTGCAGTTGTGCCATGGAGCCTGGGAAAAAGGTTTTTACAACAGTGCTATCTTCGAAGAAACTTTCTGAGCCTCCTCTAAGGTTCTGGCTGCCTACCCACCCTCTATAAAACTAGCCAACAGCCTTCTTGTAAGCCAGTGTATACACACTTAAACTGGAACATGCCCTAGCAAGAAATGTAGAGCAAGTTGATGAGGATTCATAACCACTGTTGTGGTTGTGAGTAAATAAATACCCTCATTGTAAGCCAACTCAGTTTTGAAATCTCACATGTAGGTCTTCCAGAAAATAATAGATTTCACCTACCACACCACACATTCTTCTAAGAACTGTGTTGGTGAAGTTGGGAGAATAATTAAGTATCAGAAACGAAGCAGCAGTTAAGAACTTTCACAGGCAATTGAGATCAGACAGATAGCTTGCCTTGAGTGCAAGAGTATTTTTTCCAAAACAGATCCATCCCTGACTTCTTGATTTTGATGGTGCTAACCAGTTGAGAAAGTACTTGTCGGAAAAGCCTTAGAGCCAGAATCCATGTCTCCTGGAAACAAAATACCACAAATTCAGTAGAGAGACAAACTAAATGGAAAACTGCAAGTTCCCTAACTCCATTGTTCCCACTAAGCCATGCCTGTTTTGCATGTGTCATTCCCTTTTTCTCCGTCTGATGGACAACTGTAATAACCATTATTTTCCCATTTTTACATTTCATGGCTTATGTTTAAATTACTACCTTTAATACTTGTCAGTTGAACAGCAGCTACTTTCATCCTCAAGTAAATGTTACAAAAAAAGGCCTTTTAGTGTGCATTACAGTTTTATTTACTGCTGTCAATATTTTAACCGTTGGGTTAAGTTCTGTTTTTTTCCTTAATATTTAAAGGAATGCTATTTTTCCTTGAGTGTAAGGAAACACCGTAAAGAAAACAATTCCCTTAGGACCAAGAATGGTTATGGTGGCTGTCTGGATGCCTGGGGGTAAGGTGCTAAGGGCATAAAGAGATTTAGGAAGTGGGAAATTCTTTACCATTTGCAAGATAATGGTTGGCTTAGTTCTTAGATAGAAGTGTAGTGAAATGCCTAGATGTTGAATGATTCAGGAGAAGGAAGGAACCAGGTAAAAGACTTAAATTACTATGTAAAGAAATTACTTTTTGGGCTGCCAATCACTTAACTAATAATTTGTATTTAACCAGGTGGTTGAATCCCTTATTTATTATCGGCCATAAACGGAAGCTTGAAGAAGATGATATGTATAAAGTGATGCCAGAAGATTCCTCAGAGAAGCTTGGAGAGGAGTTGCAGTGGTAAGGAGAAAAATTGCAAATTACTTTGCGTTGGAAGGTACAGTTGTTTTCTTTTATTGCATTAATGCTGGAGAAGGTAAAAATCTTATTTCTATTCTAAAATTAAAAGATGTTACTGTAAAGTTTAAAAAAGTTAAAAATACTGAAGAATTTATGGTAATAAGAACTAAGATAATTTGTTTACCATAGAAGCTTTTTTAGTTTTTTTCAAGTTACACATAATGGAACTGTGTTAGAGTATTTCCCTTATGTCATTTAGAATTAACTTGACACTTTGCAGAACGCTTGTGAAAGACAACTTCTGGTCAACTGTAAGGGTAGTAATCCTTAATAAATGTGTGAATCTTCTGTCCTGTGGTAAAATAGCTGTGGAAACTTCAAATTGCTTTGTGTAAAAGTGGAGAAAAAAAGTTTTATACTTCATTTCTTTTTGATTGTTTGTTTGTTTTGTGCCAGTTGAATTAAGTGACCCTTCAAATACATGGGTGTATATATCTATATGTATATTGAAAATCTGCCGCTCACTGGTAAAGTGGGAAAGATGCCTTGGACAGCTAAAAGAATGTATCTAGGAGGTGTTTTTACTTGGTTTTAACTACCTTTTCGTGGACTGTGTACTGGTTTGTAGTGTTACAGACTCAGGGGGTCTATCTTTTAGTAGGAAAATATCTCCAAATAATTACTATTTATATAAATTATTGTGAACCTTGCAACAGGATTTTTGTCTTTAAATAATCTTCTACTAAATACAGTTAGGGGAAAAGATGCCTCCTAGTGAAAGACAGCCTTGCTGTTTCTTGCCTTTACACTGCAGGCAGAGCAGATGGACTTTCCCAATAATTTGATTGGGATTAGTGACTCCTCAAGAAGCAAAAAAAATCCAGAAGTGAAAGATTATCATCTAAATCTGACATCACCCTGCTCTGGATAAGTTAACTGAAGAAAGAGGGTTGGTGATAAGCTTGTAGGAGTTGCTGCTTTTAATGTCTTTGGAGCTGGGGAACTTTGCCAAATTCCATGGTTGTGTCTTGAAGCAGTTCAGGGACTAGCTGTAGGGGAAGATGGACTTTTCCCCATGATTTTTATAGTAAAAGCACACACTTGCAGGAGTCAGGAAATGATAGAAGAAAAAAATGAGTGGTTTTTAATTCTTTAGTGTACTTGACCAAGAAGCAGAGAATATAATTCATAGGTAGCTGCCTCTGGAAGCAGTCTTTTCTCTTGAGCCAAGAAATCCCACAGAACCTACACAGTTTGTGTTTTCAAAGCATGTAGACAATAACTCTGTAATTCTTGTAACAAAAAAAAAGAGGGTTAAAAAAAAAGTTCTTATCTGTATGCTTTGAACTTTTGTGCCTTGTTGCAAAATAGTTGGCTTTCATGCCTTAGACTCATTTCACCCCTCAAACTATCAAGGTCAGAGGTTTGGCAGAAAACACTTAGCCTTCAGAAGAAAGGGGGAGGATCCTGTCTGACAGCAGTGTGTTTTAAGGAGTCTGCTTGAATTGTGATACTTTTTTGTTAAAATCATGCTGGCTATTACTGTCTTTGGTTTTTATGTGAACAGATTGTGTCCTACTTGTGGGCAGACATGTGGTAATGGAAAGGTCTTTGCCGCTCTGCTGAGGAATCCTCACCTTCAGAGAGGTGTGCAGAGGGTTGGGCTCCTAAGTAAGGTGAGTGGTGACTGTCTGAACTGAGAGGAGAAGAAATAAAGGGAGGGTTCCTCATCAGCAAATATGTCAAGGTCGATAATAGTCAAGAGTGGTGAATTGTTTGTGATTGACCAAGAGCAAATAGGCCTATAATACTAAGTGCCAAGTGTGTATGTGAATGAGAAGTCATTATTATCTTTAATTCCTTTTGTTTTATTAGATCTTATTAAGGTGATCAGGACAATCTGGCTGTTACAGGACAATCTGGCTGTTAGTCTGAAAGTGTTTTGTTTTAGGTAATTGCCTTGTGATTTTACTTTTGTCCTCCAACATATTTGCACTTTGTTTGTCAGGTACTGGGATAAAGAGGTGCAAAAAGCAAAAAAGAGAGGAAAAACACCACATTTAACAAAAGCCATTATTCTGTGTTACTGGAAATCCTATTTAGTTTTTGGAATATTCACAATGATTGAGGTAAGTGGTGTAAAATGTCACAGGACCTACTTCTTGGCTAACAGCAATGTGAAACTTCTCCTCTTAGATTGCATGACACGTACTGGTAACTTGACTGCTCAGAGAACCTGGTAGTGTTCTTGGAAAGGAAAAGAGAGCAATAGCCCTGCAGAGACTGAAAAAACTGAGTCATAACTGCAGGATTATGGAACAGAGAGCTCATTCGAGCGCATTATTTTTGAGACATCACAAACAATTGACTTGCTTTGTAAGGCTTATCTGTATTTTATGTGTCTGAGTTGGGTGCCCAATTGAGGATTTTTTGCTCGCTCTCTAAGTGGCTCTAAAGGACACATGGCATTTTAAAAAATGGAAGTGTAATACATACTCGTGCAATTTTTATAACATCAAAGGGTTTTTTGGTAATTGAGAGAGTTCTCTTTGAAGTTCCAGCTACATTCTAATGTGGAACATGTTTCTTTTGGATTATGTGTTGATAAAAATTGGCTTGACACTTTAGAGCACAATAAAGACAAAATAATAAGGGATATGACTTACGGCAGTACTTGGCTCTTCTTTGCCTGTTTACAGACTTTGTTAGCACGGTATGATATGAAGTTACTAATACTTTCCCCTCTTCCTTCTCTTTCAGGAAACCCTCAAAATAGTTCAACCAATTATTCTGGGGAAAATTATTGAATTTTTTGAAAATTCTCAAAAAGAGGAAGATTTGAGTTATGCATATTACTGCGCAGGTGCTCTGTCTGTGTGCACGCTTATTCTGGCTATAATGCACCACTTATACTTCTATCATGTACAGAGGGCTGGCATGAAGCTGAGGGTAGCTATGTGCCACATGATTTATCGGAAGGTAAGCAGACCTGTTCACAGCTATATTTTGTATTTGGCAGTTGTTCTGTTAGGGGAGTTTAAAAATGCAGTCATTTATTATGCTCACGCCTGCAATTCCATTGAAGTTACTCATTTGTAGAGACCTAATGCATGTGAAATATGTCAGGCCTTAGATGTACGCATGTGGCTTTGCTTTCTCTTTTTGCTGAGGTGTCTGGATGACACCTTCAGGCCTGCCTAGAGAAGGTGGTGAGTCAAATATCCCTAAAGTGTTGGAGAAGCTGCTTTTTTTGCCTCCTGCTGCTGTTGGGGAGGAGCCCCCCCATTTCTCTTGGACGTGTTGTGTGCAGCATAGAGCAGGAGAGAGCTCCCAGGAAATGCTGGCAGCTACTCAGCCTTGCAGTTTGATCTCGATGCGGGATGTGGTGCTTGGATGTCACCATATGCTGCAGCACTCTCAGTCTCCTGGGAACTGCTTCATTGTCCAGGTTTCTTCCCACCCCTGCTGTGGTTAATGGCAGGAGTTATTTATATTTTATTCCATCAGTGCTGTAGAACTAGTAGCAGGTTGTCTCCTTTGCAGATCAGAGGCTGCTCCCCTCCCTTGGGGCATCCATCAGGTTCCCTCAGGGGGTGGCAGCAGGTCTGTGGAAGTGCTACTTCTCCCTCCAGGCAGGCAGGGACACTTGGCATCTTCACCTTTAGTATCCCTCATGTTTGAGGGGGAAGAGAGAGAGGAGAATCAAAAGTTCAGAATCAAGTGGAATCCTAAAGGCAGGGAGATAGAGTTTTGTATTACCATTTACTGATTTTACTGTGGGAGTACTGAAGCCCTCCACTAAATCCAGTGAAATGTGAGAAGGGGTGAGCTGTGGCTTCTATGCTGTCCCTGTCCTGATCAAGAAATAGCTGTCCTGAACTACAGATGGAGTTGAGGCTGCTGTCAGAGGGCAAGTGTAGCAACAGGAGTTGAGTTTTATCTATAGGAGGGATGAAATGCTCTCTTTGATGTGCTCTGGGCAGCAAGCAACCGAGCAGTGAGCCCTAGTTCACTCTTCTGAAGCTGTTGCCAATACCCAAACCGTGAGTCTTTCTGCTTCCAAGCAGGAAATCTCTGCTGAGAATGCTGAAAGGGAAAATGCCCCATCTTTCTATCTTCAGTGCTGCTGGAATAGTGACCCTCAATTTCAGACCTCAGCAAAGAAGTTTAATTGAAGAATCAAGACCACAGTTTCTTTGAAACGTTAAGAAATCCACATTATTTTAACCATTAAACATAGGTTCCATTAACTTAACACCAACACTTGTGCTACTGGCGTAGGTCATGTGAAGTTTTTGGACAAAGCAGTAAATTGAGGGGAGTAAAAATGTCCTCATTTTAAGTGGTGATTACTTTTCATACACACATTTCTTCTCTTCCTCTTTTGATACTTCGGAAAAGGATCCTCTGGGAACTTGGCTCTAACATGGCACAATGTTTTCTTGTACATAATCATCTCTCTAAGGTATTAATTTACTAAACAGATTATCAAAACTAAATTAATGCAAAACGTATATAGTGATGGTGTTTGTTGCTGGGTTGATAGTAGCTTAGAAGCTTGGAAAACAAATATTTGTAATATGCATGCTTGTTTCTAGAGATGGGATTAAATGGAAAATTAATCTGCCCTTGTGTTTACTTCTGAGAGTGAGAGTTGAGGTAACAGCAGCACATGGACAAACCTTTCTAATGATTTGTCGCATTCTTAACACAGAACTTCAAGTGTTCATAATTAAATTTTAGACCCTTTTTCATTTACTGGAAAGTTCAAATCTAATTTGCAAAGACCCTGTATTCAAACTCTTAAGAAGTTTTGTTACCAGTAAGAAGTATTAGTGATGCACATAGAAAACTATTAACAAAAATGAAAACGAAATCTGTCTCGTGTGGACTTGGAACTTAGTTTTTAAATCAAAGGCTACTTTTGGGAAACTGTTTTTTGTTGTTGTATTTTTTTTAAGACTTAGCTTTTAGAAATTCTTTGAGGTCAGTGTTCTGACTTTAGCTAGGATGAAGTTAGTTTTCCTCAGCTCATATGGGGCTGTGTATAGATGTAGTAAAAGAGGAAGGTACCAAACCAGGACTTTTTGGTAGAAATTGGTTATGAAAGTAAAACTGCTACTTTGCAGTCGAGGCAGATCCATTCAGCCAGGAAAATGCAAGGCTTATTTCACTTAAAAACAAAAGAAAAACAATCAAAACCAAGAAGGAAGCAAGGAAATACTAAAACTGCATTGCCACTGACAATGGGAATGGCTGCCTCTTCCCTGAGAAGACAAATCAGTCACAGATGAGCACGCTCCTTTTGGCTCAGATGTTTGTGTGGTTCCTCCTGAAACTGTCTTGGTCAAAATGACGTGGACTCATAGAATCATATTAAAACTGGTTTTGCTGCTTATGTAGAAATAGCTAGGAAGAAGTCTGGAAGGTGATTGTGTGGCAGTTCCAAGACAGACCCAGGCCATAGGCCACAAGCAAGAGGCTGGCGTGGTCTTCTGATTGTTCAGGTCAACCTCAGGCAGCAAATATATTGTACAAGAGGTGCTGTAAACACATCCTGATGGGAAATGTCTCCAAACATGCATCATGTGAACTCCTGTTTTTATGATCTGTGGATTTCTAGCAGCTTTTCTCGGAGCTTACCAACCTCATCGTGTGGTGTGGAGCAAACATGACAGCAGCAGGCAGCTACCTGGGGGATGTCAGGTGGATGAGAGACAGGTGGCTGAAGACAGGGAATGAAGCAATAATTTTCTCAAATAATTAAATCTGATCTTTCATAAACCCAGTATCCTAGATTTATTTTTTGGAATGTCGGAGGAATTTCATAGTGGAGTTTTAATTTCTGCCTGCTGGTTTCAATGAAGTTAGAGTTGGGATTTTCTCGGTGATTAACAATACCTTTCTAACACAAAAGTGAGGTGCAAAAAATGTAAGGAACTTTGTTTGAAATTATGCTTCGAATAGTACTTTGATGGCTGATGTTCTTCTACTTGTTTCAAAATACTGGAGCAATTTTTGAAACAATCAGTGCTCTTCAGGTTTGATAATTGGTTAGAAAGGAACCCTAATAATGTTTGGAGAGGGAGAAGTAGATGTGCACTGCCTAAAAATGTGAAATGTTTTTGAGGAGTGAACCATTTCTGTACAGAAAAACATCTAACATGCTTTATATATATTTTTTTTAACTTGTGCTGCAAACATATGTTTTCCTTCTAGTAGGTGTCAAAGAAAGCTGGGTGTGTTATCAGTATTTTTGAGGAATTTCAGTTTGGATCTTTACAGTAAGGTTCAGACTGCATATTTCCAGATGTGATTTTTTGGGTGGGGATATTTTATAAACACATATTATTTTCTACTGACTAACTTCTTTATTAATGTATAAAAATACTTGATATTTTAATCTTGTTATTTTTCATAGCATGTGCTAAACTTCATTATATATAATTCATATACGATGTTTCAAGAGTTAGTGATTTGTAAAGGGACACTCTGATTGACAAAGATTAATAATTTTATTAATAACTTGAGGGGTTTTTGCCTTCTGTCAGATAACATGTTCGAAACAGAATGCTTGCAATTGGCCTGTTCTGACTTTAATCTGGCCTTCAGGTGGAATTTTCTGTTCCTGTTTTGTACAGATGCTCACAGTGAGGGGGAGAACAGTGCACATGGAAATTTACAGCTCTTTTGCTTAGTAACTTGCTGTGTTGGTATTTTCATATTTTTAATCACTTCAGACATGAAGATAGGGAGTTTTTATTCTCACAGTCCTTCCCTTGACAATTTTTTAAAATACTCTTTTCTTTGGGACTTTGTTTAGGATATTTAGTGTGATAATTTGAGGCTGTTCTGAATTTTTTAGGCACTTCGTCTCAGTAATGTAGCTATGGCGAAAACTACCACTGGTCAAATAGTAAACCTGCTGTCAAACGACGTGAACAAATTTGATCAAGTAAGAAGTATTTTACAGATCTTTTCAAGGGGCTGGAGAAACTGTGGGGTTGGAATTAAGAAAGTTTTGTTTAAAATTGGTGATGAAATGTTTATAATGAACATTTCTTCTAGTTGTTTCTTAAACATAGAATATTTTGTGTTGGAAGGGACCTTAAAGACCATCTAATTTCAGCCCCCTGCCACGAGCAGGGATACCTTCCCACTAGCAGTTTGCTGATAGCCCCATCCAACCTGGCCTTGCCACAGGCAGAAATACTTCCTAAGTGTTACTAGAGGTTTAATTTGCTAGATAAGGTCAAAAGCTAATTTTTGATTCTTAACTATTTGTTTAGGTAACAATTTTCTTGCACTTCTTGTGGGCTGGACCACTTCAGGCTGTAGCAGTAACAGTACTTCTCTGGACACAAATAGGCCCATCATGTCTCGCAGGAATGGCAGTTCTGATTATTCTTCTCCCTGTGCAGACCTGCATTGGGAGGCTTTTTTCTTCCCTCAGGTAAGGCTGCATGTTTTGGGTTGTAGCTATTTTCTGTGCTGGGTTTTAAAATGTGCATACTGGGTGGAGGCAGAGTATCAGCTTGTGTCTGGGGATATTTTTTGCAGTGTCTTTTATCTTTGCTAATGTTTTTTATAGTTGCTAATGTGAGATGTCTGAATTCCAGATTATGGACTTGAAGTGGTCTGTCTTCCAAACATGCTGGAAATATCTGCTATTCATTAGCTGTCTAGTACATTGAAAGAGTCTGATTATTTCTGTAGCTACCTTGCTGTAGATTGTGGCACAGAATTGTGAGAGGTGAGCTTTGCCTTCCTGCAGTGATTCTTGGGGGGTGGTTACTCCACAGGGCATGTAATCAGCCCTTCTCTGTGTGGCTTACTGGGGTGATACAGGAGTAGCAGCAGGAAGCTCTGCAAGTTTCTTGTTCAAAGATCTTGCTCTCTGTCCTGCATGACTTAAGATTCAGAGAGAAAAAAGGGGAAGGAACTGAGAGACAAGGGAAAAAATACTGATCATGGTGGTTTTGATGCCAGCTATGAGGTTTCCAGCTGCAAGGTTCTAGGCTGTGGAGATAAGAGTTTGAAGTAATTTTTCATTATCAGACAAATTTAATTTGTTTTTCTGTAACTTTGTCCTAAAAAAAACCCAGCAAGACTTGCTTCTGATGGGATTGTTGAGGCAAGTTCTTGCATCCCAGTTTTCTGTTTCTTGTGTAATTAGCCATGCTTAACTTATATTATGACTTTATAAAAGGCTTTTACATCTAATTGGAAATATTTGGATGTTCTTTTACTCTGTACACATATGCTTAGGACCGTTGGGCATCTTTCTTTGCATCTTTTGCTGAATGAGTTCCTCTTAGCTCTTTGGATAAGTAAAATTTCTTTAAGTGAAAAATTTCTAGACATACTAAGCCTGGCATTGCTGTTGTATGGCCAGGTATGAAGAGAAAGATGAGAGTTATGAAATGAAAACAACTCATAGACCTCTTCATTTGTAACCAGTGTAGTAGTCTTCAGTCATTACATTCGTGTGCTGTTTCTCAAATAATGTTCAAGGGCTGTTTCTCAAATGATCCATTCAGAGTTTTCTGTCAAATTCTAAGGGCTTTTCTTTTTATGATAAAGCCTGTTTGTAGAACACTTACCATAGATTCTTAGATGCGAATTTTCACTGCATGTGAAACATGCATACATAAGTATCTAGTTACCTGATTGTTGTTTTTCATTAGTTCTAAGTTTTTGAGCTTTGAGTCAATAATTAAAATACCTAGTGCTCAGCTGGTGCTTTATCTGTGGTGGCAGGCTTTAATATCCCAGTTTTTTTTCCCCAGATGGGAAACTGAGGCAGAGATAAGTAGACTTGTCCAGGGTCAGACAGTAGGGTGACAAAAATCTCTTTCTTGAAGGTACATATTTTAGAAATTGATCAGTGGCAGTGTAACAGTGTTTGAGGTTTTTTACCCATTCAGTTGCAGCCATTTGTTTGGATGCAGTGTAAGGGAAAGAATTTGTTAACTAGAAAAGCTTCTGCTTGTGTCCATGTGCACAGATCTTTTTCTTTGTGAACAGAAACGTGCAGTGAACAGAAGGAGTTAATGGTAAAACTGGAATAGATTTTAGCTCTGTAATGATGAGCGTGTTCACATGGCAGTTGCTGGGAATCTGCATGGATTTAAGGAGAGCAGCCTATGAAGAAGTAATTTAAGGATTAAAGCTTTTGCTAAAATCCAAGCAGTTGGTGTGGCAGTTAATTTGTGCTATTATTCAGCATTATTCTTGTGACTCAGTCGCGTAAACACGCATTCACACCAGTTCATGATGCAGCCATTGGCCTCAGTGCTCTGGGAGTCTGCAGATGTGGATTCAGTATCCTGTGGAATGGCATCCACTGTACTCTGCAGGATTGCTTTTACTTGCACAAGTACAAGAAGTTTTGGAAAATACATGACCTAATACATTATTTGGAAAACAGTTCAGTTATTGGACTCAAGACCATTTATATGTATTTTATTCACAAGAGCTGAATGCTTTCATTGCTTAGTCGTGCAACTGGAATATTATTATTTCAAGTCCTTTTTCTTAAAGATAAAAACTGTGTCTAACTGCTGTGTCAGACATAATTAAAACCCACCAAATATGCCTTGTGAAAGCAAAAAGGAATTTTGTAGCATGCTTAATTTAGAATGGGTTTTAGTATCATAGAGGAGTCTTCTCAGACAAAAAATTTTCAGGTCCTTTCTTATTGCACTCTTGACATGCTATGTGAGCATGTATTGGACTGATCTGTTTGTACTCTGAAGTTAGTATTTTTAATACCAGGGACATGTTTTTCTCTGTGGTAATTTACCATAATGCACTGGATATCTGTATACTTGATTTGATATCACTGTGTCTGTGGCTTCTGGTATGTACGTACAAAATATGCTTATTGCAAAGAAGGGGAGTGTAACTTAAATTATAAAAAAGACCACTCCCCCAACCTCTTGAGCATTTTAAAGCAATTTGAAATAGGATGGTTACTATGATAACACTTGAGCAGGAAAGCTGAAAAATTGGTTTGTGAGAACTGCAGCCTTTTTTGATTCACACCATTTTAAAAAAAGAAACCTCTGTTAACTTTGTTATTTTCTGTCATCGTCAACTTTCTATTATGTGGAAACCAAGCCTGGAAGTTAGGTGACTTCCAGGATTGTAGGCGAGAATTGTTTGCTGCTGCAGAGACATGAGCAACACATACTAATTTTGCCTTTTCTAGTGGTGGTGTGTGTACAGGGAAGAAATGAGCTATTACATTCTTTAAGAAATTGTTTTTCTGTTACTGTTTCTGTTTGAAAAAGGAAAAGATGAAGTAGCAAAGGTAATCTCATTCCACATTGGTGTGGTTGGTTTAGGCTACGCTATTTTCCTCAGTGTTATTAAGAATCCGTGATTGCACTAGGGCCAAGTTTCTAAATGCCTTTTGTCAGTTCCCTTGTATAAATATTTTTTAATACCCTGCTTCAGCCATCCTAGCATTTATGGAACGCTGGTGCTGAGAAGTTTTTTTAAAATCACGAGTAGGTGCTTGAAATTCTTTCAACTTGCGTTGTATAATTACGGTGATTTCTTCCAGTGTGTGAGAGAAATCTTACAGGGGACAGGTTAAGCTGAGAAAGCCCAGTCACCCCTTCTAAAAAGATTTGAATTTTTTTTAATGATCTCTGAAACTTAACTTTCATTAGTATATGCAGAAATAAAGGTAAAGGTATGTTTTAACAAAGGTAAGGTCATAGCTCTCCATGTGCAAACTTTTTGTCTACGTGAATGAATTCAGAATTACAGTGGGATCTATTAGCATGATTTATGCATTAATTTTGTGGCTTCTAACTTTCAGTGTTTTTTCCCTAATTAAAACAGTGACTTTATTATTTAATAATACATATTTTCCATTTTTTCCATCAGTGCAAACATAGTGTGGGTCCAAAATAGATATACTTGAATTAGTGTTAATTATAATTAATGCTTAAATAATATTTTATTATTTTAAGAAACCATATCTAGATTATCTAATGAATTATAGCTCATGTGCTATGTAATCTCTCTTTCAACTGCAGTTAATCCTAAAAAGTCACAAATGGGGCCAGTTTCTTTGACAACATCAAAAGAACTTTATGACAAGGGTGATTGTTTTTGCATTTTGAAATATTTTAAAGCGATTTTCTGATTTTTGTTTAGTTCTAAATGCAATAAACAGCAGATATGTTAATACTGTGTGTTTGCACAAACTTACTCATAGTTCTGAACACTGAATCAATTCTCAGTTCCCTGAGAGCTAAGAATGCAAACATACCAAGTCTGCCTGCTGTGTGTCAGCTTTAAGATCTTCAGGAAAACCCTTTAATGCAGTTACAGTTTTGTGAATCGTCTTTGCAAATAAAAGCAAAAACTTTATAAATATGTTATGCGATCATAAATGGTCTTTTTTAGGGAATCTGAGAATTTTTCCTTTGTCCTATTTTCAGAAGCAAGACAGCTGCCTTAACAGATGTCAGGATTAGGACCATGAATGAAGTGATAAGCGGTATGAAGATAATAAAGATGTACGCTTGGGAAAAATCATTTGCGGAACTTGTGAATGGTTTAAGAAGGTAATCTTGGAAAGAGACATCTTGATGTATGACCAGTGTAATTTTCTATTTTATACATGTGAATAAGTGCTTTATTTTGTGCTTTAAAATGCAGTTTCCTTGCACTTTTTGTTTTTGTTTTTTATTTTTAAATTTTATATGGCAGGAGTGGAGGAATGAAGATACATTCTAAGGGAATAAAAAATTTACAAAAATCCTCAAAAACTTGAATAATTCAGGCTTTTTTATGCTTTCTTTAACATTTGTGTTCAAAACAAGCAACTAATAAGCTGTAGCAGTTGTAATGCAGCAGTTTCATCCTCCTTTTATGCATTTTATTGCTCAAGCCACCTGGGAAAGGTAGAAGGGAGAGAGACAGTAGATCAGAAATTCCCTTGTTATTCAACTGTCAAGGCCAGCTGAGTTTGGTATCCTAAGACATTCATTTCAGCGATTCTTTGACATCAGATTAAAACACATTAATACGTTTGATTTTCAGTCAGTATTTTCCCTTTTACTGACACTAACAGCATTCAGTACTAAAGGGTAACTGTAAGGGTGCATATTTCTTATAAAGTGATTTTCATGTCATGTCCCTCTCCAACATACAAATAGAAAAGTGTTATCCTGCTGCAGATTATCTGACTCTTTTGTTTTTAATGTTTTATTTTGAAAATCCTTTTCTTAAAAGAAGTTTTCTTTTCATCCATGTGCAGGCTTGAAAAATTGTGAATGTTCCCTGAGATGTTTCTTCACACACAGATAATTGTTGGATTCTATTATCTGTTGGATTATAGGATAATGTGCTCTTTGAATGTTCATGACTGATGGGAATAAGATCTTCCAGAACACATCTTGAACCCTCTTTCCTTTCCTTAACTGTGTTGTGGAAAACTACTTAAAACTCCTAAATTTAGCCGGATGCTTTATTGTCCACTATTTCCACATTGCCTCTTGACAGTGGCTAAGATGCCTTCTGAACTCCTTCATTGCTCTTTTTTCTTGTGTCTGTCCGTATTAGTTTCCTTTTATGTAAGTTTGTGCCTCAGGACAATGTAATATATTATATGCAGCCTGCAGGTAGGCTGTAATTTATCTGGTATTTATGGAGAGCGGCACAAAAAACTTGCCGATGAGACACAGATAATGAGCGGATTATTAAGGATTATTAAAGGGTGGGAAAAGAGTTTTCATCCAGGCTTGTAGAAGTAATTGAATTAGACCAAATTCAAATAGTTTACATACAAATGTTCCTTCTCTGTACTCTGGAGGAGATCAGAGATTGTGAACCCTTAAGCTGAAAAAATAAGTCTTTGAAACTCTTTAGAAGTTTGTCACTTCAGCCAATTTGGCAAGTGTAGTGGGAAAGTTGCTTAACTAGTTTTCCAGTATCCTGGAAAACTAAATGAAGAAAAGTGCATCCTGCATCCTTTTCTTCATTTAGTGATTGCTTAATTTACTTCAAATTGTATAATCACAACCTGAGTTTCTAATCTTAATGTATAGTTCCAAGTGGAAAGTGATCAAAATTATTAAGATTTTCCCTAAGAATTGCCAGAATATGTTGAAAGAGAAATCAGGAATTGTTTTGGGATTTTATATTTGATAGTATTAAGCAGACAAAAAGTAGACTGTATGGGGAAGGAGTAAGTTGTGGTTCTCTTGATAAAGAAGAATGATTATATTAGTAAGGAGATACGCCTGATAGCATCCACATCATAGTAGATGATAGTGCAGTAACATTTTGAGGATCAGACTTGTTGAGTCATTGAGAAGTGGAAACTGCAGTTTAACTGAAATGGAAATTGAGAACAAACGCATCAGCAGCTTTTCAGTTGCTGGAGGGAGACTTAAGTGTCTGTGCAGTACTTCAATCGCTATTCAGTTTGGGCAATGACTGGCAGAACAATTGGCCTCACAGATCAGTATTTTCTTAATTTATGAACCAGAATTCCTAGAGCAAAAGAAGCCAGGCGCAGGGTCCAAACTGGGAAGGATTTAGACTGAGATGAAAAGAAGTACTCTAAATCCTGTGATATAGCTTGAGGAGCAGCAGCTGAATAATGACAGATACTTTGGTCATGGGCAAACTCTTGATCTTCTGGAAATTGCCCTGATTTTTTTCAACTGCAGAGTATGTGTTGATCTTGTTACAAGTTTTGTGACTGAACTCTGGATTTTGATATTGGAAGGATAAGGAGTTGGTGGGTGCTTGGCCTTTATACAGGTTTTTTTCCCCTCTTTGCACGCAGCCCAAAAAGATTTGAAGCAGATTAGAATCTGAATCAAAAAACTAGATTGACTGGAGAAGAAGAAAATAGTGCGTTAGTTTTCTGACTCTGAGAAATAGTTGTTTTCTATAGCTATTAAGGTATTAAATATAATGAATTTCTCCTCTGAATTTCCAAGCCTCTTAAATTCTGGTTGGTTTTTTTTTTGTTTTGTGTTGGGTTGTTTGTTTGCTTGTTTGTTTTTGTTATTTACCAAAGAACATGTCTTATTCACAGTTGTTTGCATAGGAGTTGGGGTGGTGCAAGGGGAGGAGAAAGGATATGAAAGTAAAATCCTGAGAGGGGGTTTCCCTCATCGTATTGTTGAGGGTAGGTTATAGTAATGAGAGAGACTGATGTGATTTGTTTATTTTCTGCATTTTTAGGAAGGAGATTGCCATGGTTATGAAAAGCTCCTACCTCCGAGGACTGAACTTAGCCTCGTTCTTTGTGGCAAGCAAAATAACAGTGTTCATGACTTTCATGGCATATGTACTACTTGGTGAATTAATCTCTGCAAGCAAGGTGTTTGTGGCAGTGTCCCTCTACGGAGCAGTGAGACTCACAGTGACCCTGTTCTTCCCTTCAGCTGTGGAGAGAGTGTCCGAGTCGGTGATCAGCATCCGAAGAATCAAGGTAGCCTTACTGACTAGGAGGGGGTGTGGATTCCTTGTCTTACTCTGCCTTTGTTTTAACGTCACTGACAAATGCAGCCTTACTATGGTTTTGCAGTTTGGGATTTGTAATGAAACAACCTGTTTTGGAAACAGGACGTGGTGTGAGTATGCGGGTACAGCGTGACATGTGCTGTAGGGTAGGCTGAGATGTAGGAGAAAAGTGTGCATGGCAAAGAGGTGTTGCAAATGTTCCTGAAGTAAGAGGAATGTGTGTACAGATAGGCAGGCATGCTGGGATTGGGATTTGAAGAACAAAGCAGGCAGATGGGAGCTATAATTCATATAGCTATATAATTCATAATTCACACTGCAGTACCCTGTCATCCATGGAGGACAGGTGCGAGTCCCAGGTTCTGCCTTGTGGCTGCTTTCAGTGCTGGAGTGAAGACTCAAATTCAGTAAGAATGAGCATTGGTAGTGCTGATGGCTGGTGCTAACAGAGCAAGAGTGTGTTGTACACTGTGGACCGCCGTGTTAAAATGCTTGGCTTCTCACTGCCCTCTGTAACAATGTGCAGCAGCTGGAGTCTGAGCAGTACCTCTGTGCCTGTAAAAGCCTTAGCAGTAATCTCCCTGCCCTCATACAGCTCCTGACATCCTCCTCCTGCTTCCTCTTAGTTACTGCTTTCTGTGAGTGTTCAGCAGCTATCTCGCATCTGCAAACTCTTAGCTAATTACTTGTTAACTAGTCTTGGCTTTTATGATCAAGACATTCCTTCTCTTCCCAAAATATTGTCTGCTGCTGCCTATTTAAGGTCCTTAGACTCTGTGAGTCAAAGGATAAAAGAATTTCTTGTGTTTTGTCATAAAACTGTGGTAGCTGTTATCCTTGAAAGTTTTCTGTGGAAATAGCTCCTTTCCTTTCTAAATGTGCTTGGGATATTTATTAATCTAGCATCAGGCAAGGTGTGGTGGAAGTGTGGCTATGGTACAAAGTGCACGCTTATGCAAATTGAAGGAATAATCTGCTGACTGGGATGTAATGTAGAAGTGCAGTAGTGAAAGTGCAGTGCACCAGTTATGCAGATGTAAGCAGGTTTCTTTTTTTGTTAATATCCTGGGCTTTGAAATAAGGAAACATTCAGATAGTGTTCTGTCTTCTGTTGGTCACTTGAAGAATGCTTAATAGAGACGGAGGACAGCTGCTTACCGTGACCTTGTTACTCTTCCAATGAAACAACATAAGACTTTGCCATCAAAGCAGTGGAATGAGAAGGTGTGGCAGTGAGGGTTTCACCTCTTCTGCATGGAAAGAGGGTGTTAAACAATTTCAAAAGTTGTCAGTGATTCAAGGAAAGGACAGGACAGGCTCTCAAGATCCGTTTCTATCTGGAATTCTTTATTGAGCAGGTGATTGTTAGAGTCCTTTCCTATTAAATCTGCACTTCTGGATGTTTTCTGGGAGCGAGCGATAGCTAGTTAGAGGTACACTGTTGTAGTTGTGCATTGCTTTGGAAATGTAATTCTTTGATCAGTTGGTAGTTGTTTTTCCCAGTCCCATGATTAATGTTCTGTATGCTGCTTTCAAAAACCATGTTTGGGTTCCTTTCCCATTCTCAGACTCACTTTAAGCAAGATCCTCTGCTTCTCTTTTATTGCAGAACTTCCTGATGCTTGATGAAGTCTCACACTTCAAGCCACAACTGCATGGCAGTAATGAAAATATCATTCTTCATGTTCAGGATTTGACTTGCTATTGGGATAAGGTAAATTTACTTACATGTTAAGTATATTGGTGCTACTGGCATTTCAAATCTTAAAATGCAGTGTGTGTATGTATAGTGTGCTGATATGTTGTACTTCATCCTTTGAGCTTGAGAGTCTTTTCAGTATGTTAAGGTAACTGTAGAATAGTACTGAAAACACTATCAAGTGCATCTTAAAAGCAGCTATTTCTTAATACTATACTAAATGAAAAACTTTGCGTTTCTCTGGGAAAATATCTCTTTTTATTAAGCAGGACTGTATTGTGGCTGAGGTACTTAATTTGGAATTAAGGACACACCACACAGCAAGGTGGGCCTGAACATGTGGGTGATTTTTTTTTGTGAACTGAATGCTTGATCAGTCTATTAGTCTAGAACCAGTACGATATTATACTTCTCACAACAGATTAGAAAGCTGTAGAGACAAGTCAGCACATATTTTTAGCTCTGTATTTTGGGACTGTTCAGCTGCACATTTTTTCTGCTTAAAATGCACCAAACTCACCAAAATGGCTAGAAAAAGGGACAATAAACATGTGATAAATTTATTATATGTCTCTTTTGTGGAAGAAAGGCCAAGGTTGACTCTTTCTCTTTTAAAATTTTAGTTGCTATGGTAAACCTGCAATTTGTGATGAATTGCACTATTGCAACTTGCCAGTATCCTCACATAAGAGAGCTTTCAGTCTCCATTACAGGTGCTGGAAGCTCTAAAAATGACTTTTGCATGTAAATGTAATGCAAGTAAGACATCAAGTATTTCCCTTTCTAAACCTTATTCCCCTACCTGTGCTGTGTCCCAAGGAAGATCAGGTGTGAAAACATATTTGAGGGTCTACTTGCAGCTACTCAGCTGCAAAAGAAAATAGCTATTTTATTCTGCTTTACTTTCTCAGACTTCTCTGTGACATCAATATTTCTGAGGCACTGATCAAGTTTTTAACAATTAATTGATATGAAAAACTTGATTGTGAATACATTCAAATGCAAAATGTAGTGTATTGCTTAGTCTTTGTTTTCTTCTCAAACTGACTTTGGTACTGCCATTAACAGTTTATAGGAAGTGTTTGCATAAAGTGCCCATAAAACACTTTTTTTTTTTTTTTTTCATGAGTTGTTTATATTGCATAAAGCAGGGTGGCATAACTGGAATTACTGGTTTCTTTCAGTTAAAAAAACCCCAAAACCCAAACCAACAAGCCATCCACAAAACTGTTAATGTAACTTTCATTTTGATATTTAATTGCAGTGTGCATAGGAGAAGAGCAGTTCTCTCAGAACTGTTACGATCTGCTCAGAAAGTTTCTATTATATACTCTTAAAATGATGCAAGATAATTTTATAGATTTGCTCACTGAAAAAAGGGATAAGTTCTGATGGAGATGAGTTATGAAAGGAGTAATATAAGTATGTTATCCTTTGTCAAGTAGCAGGCTTAGCTTGCTACCCTGACTAGGTTTCTCAAGACACTTTGGATGTCTGTACAGACACTCTGCAGCAGGATAATAATTATTTTATTATTATTTTTTAGAGATTGTTTCCCAAAAGTGATACTAAAAAAAAAAGAACCAAGTAACAACCCATGAATCCAAAATCACTTGAAGTAGAAAAGGGATTATTAGCTGCACTTTTAGGAAAACAGCCTAACATGGTGTATTACAGTTTCTCAAAAGATAAACAAAACCAATTAATTCCTGGTTACACTTCTGTTTTACTTAGGCAAGTATTACTTTGTGTACCACAGGCTAGTCTGATGCCAGCATGGAATTAGGGATTCTTCAGTACAGCTTTTTACTGTTGTTCCTTGAATTCACAGAACAGTCTGTCTGCTCAACTGAGCAACTTCAGATTTACAGTCAGCATTTGAACAGAAGCCAAATTTATCCCCTGCAATTTTAGTCCTTACATGAGAAACCTAAGTAGCATAGTACTTCTATGCAATATATGATTTCTGTATCCCTTAGGTGAGCAGGACTATTTCGTTTTCTTGTCTGTAGGGCGTGTAAGGTCTGCCCAAGCTCACTTAAGGAGTTGCTGCCCCTAAAGGGATCATTTTTGTGTCCTCTTGCCCTTGCAGCTCTGTCTGTTGCCTCACTTATTCTGGTTGTGAATATTATGTGCTGGTTTGTATGACTCTGTGGTGAAGCAGTTTGGAGGGATGAAGCAATAGAAAATGAATCACTTTTAATGAGATTAGCTTTCTGGTAGCTGAGTCCCATGAACAGCACATGCAAGGTTAGGCAGAAGGAGGAAAGCTGGAGACGCAGCAAGTTGACAGGGCACAGGGGAGCTGGGACATTTGTGATAATGAGCTGTCAGGTGAACTTAACTGCAGTATGTGCACTAATTTAAGTGCCTCAGTTTAGTGCTAAAAATAGATGTGATGAATTCAGGACAAATCGTCTTTAATTATAAGGAATACTATTTTGCAAAAATATCGCTGCCTCTTAGGTACATGTTGCTGTGCTGTTTGCTTGAATTACTAGATTTGTGTAGGCTCTATGAAAGCTTCCAGTATTGCTTTAGTGTGGCAGTAATAATGTAGGAACTTTTAAAAAATCTTTCTGTAATGTTTTTTTGGCTCTTACATTATGGTTTTTTTAAATTTTTGATGTGGGCGGAAATGTCTTTGCACTTCTGTGAATACAGAAGCACTGCCTCAAGAGGTCTGAAGAGGAGCCTGTGTGTCTGAGAGCTTATTTTTTTTTCCATCTAGGCATTGATTTAATAAGAGATATTTTCTCTTCCTACAAACTTCGTGTTAAAAAAAAATAGAAAATCTTTGGCTGCCATAAATTCGTAGGGTTCTCCTGACCTTAGCATTAGGTGAGCACCTGAGCTATGTGCTCTGGACAGAGGAATCAACTTCGGGGTCAGATGCTGCTTGGGGTGGATGGTGGGGCTGTGCAGAGAAAAGGAAAAAAGTCCCGTTGGTGCCACCTCGTGGAAGTTTCCAGTGGCAGCAGAAGTGGTTTAGCAGAGCTGCCCAAGGAGCCTGAGTTCAGCTTCTGGCAGCCTGAGCATCTCATGTGAGCCCTGCAGTGAGTCCGAGAGCTCTGGCAGCGGGGCTGCCTGCCGGGGCTTTCTGCTGGCACGTGTGTGCTATCCCAGCCATCATAGATGTGGGTTTGTTTCTTCCCAAATAATTTGAAATGAATTGCAGGCTTCCTCCTTATGTAGTCCCAGAACATTTTTCTTGTTCTTTTGTATGGAGTTAAGCCGATGGCCTTTTCAGCTACTTGAACTTCAAAAAGTGGCTGGACATATTGAGGTATTCTTAACCTTGCCCTTCTGTTTCTGGAGCTTAAGGCTGTGTTTTTGGTTGGCTCCTTAATCAAAGTACTTGTTTGGGGTTTATTTAATGCTTAGGTTTTACTGCTTGCATGTTAGTGTCAGTCATGCTTAGTGTGGGTGAAGTTGCTTGTAAAGGCAGATTCTGTTACAAAGGTGCTCTGCTTTAATGAGAGGGAGCTGCACCAGGTCCTTAGAAATTGCTGTTTAGCATAGCTGTTAAAGACATGAGCATCCTTTCTTTCTACAAGTAGGCATTTTTGCAACCTTGATAGAAGAGGTGCAAAATATGTTGGGAAATAAGCTCATCCATAACGTGAAGGATAGGCATACTGGAAAGGAATGTTAAAGAGACAGTCCAAGGGCAGCATGAATGAATACCCAGTGTGCAAGATGAAGTTGTGTGAAATCAAATGGCATGTTTCTGGTTTTACCAGATGTGTGGGCTCTGAGGAAGCCCTGCTTCTGCTGCCTTCGGCCTCCTTCTTCCTTGAGTGCTATTTTAGCTGTGTTGCATGTTCGTGGTGAAGGATGAGGGTCTTTCAGAAGTGTTTGTGAATTACTGAAGAGGCAAAAACCTATGCCTGAAGATATGGTGGGCATATGGACTGGTAGTTTATAGTGATGTATGCACATTGTTTTCTGTTTCTAAGTATTTATTTTGATGGTTTGTGTTTCATTACTGAGAAATCCTGACTTTTTCTCAATCCCCAGAGTTTAGAAACCCCAGCACTTCAACAAATTTCATTTACTGTCAGACGAGGGGAATTACTGGCTGTGATTGGTCCTGTAGGAGCTGGAAAAGTAAGTCTTAATATTTACACCATTTCATGAGGCTTATGAGTCTATTAAATGTGAAAACTAGAAACCTGAAAATACACAGTTCCTTTATGTATGTAATCACACATTCCACATCAGGATACTGCCATTCAAGATAGGCCTGTGTCCTTCAGGGTTGGGAGGAGGTGATGTGGAACTAAACAGTATTTTTTGTGTTGCTTCAAGACTGCATGAAAAGGGTACTAGTGCTTTTCTACTGTTAGCAGTAGTTTGAGACACAAGGTGAAATAGACCATCGTGCCAGTAAACACTGCTCAATCTCTGTGATGTCTTTAATGCAACCAAACTTTTTAATTTTCACTTCATTTTCTTTTAAATATTTTCCAGTCTTCGCTCCTAAGTGCCGTGCTTGGTGAACTGCCTAAAGACAAAGGTTTGATAAATGTTACTGGAAGAATTGCCTACGTTTCACAGCAGCCTTGGGTGTTTTCTGGCACTGTAAGAAGTAATATACTGTTTGACAAGGAATACGAGAAAGAAAAATATGAGAATGTTTTAAAAGTCTGTGCTCTTAAAAAGGTAAGGCTTTCTCTTAGTGTATTTTCTTTCCATGAAGTTTATTTTTATTTTAGTGTTCTTTCAGACCAGTGGTGCATGATGCAATGTATGATGGAATGATTTAAGTAGCTTGTGAAATAACTCCTGTTACTTATCAGAAATTTGGAGTTATTTTTGCCATCCTTGTGTAAGGCATCCTCTTCTGATTCCCAGAACTTTCACTAGGGGGAGATACAGCATGTGTGGAGCGCTGACACATTTGGGAAAAGCTGTTCCCTATTATTTTGTTTCATAATTACATTTTAGCCCTTTTCATGTGTGTTGTGGTAGGGGTGTGTGCAAATGCAATAAGAGGCAGAACACAAATGATCAAGCTAGCACTCTCTGTGACTTTCATTTTGTAAATATCCTATATGCTTTCCTTTGAAATAAATGTCATGTTTGCTGTGTTTTATGCATTGCCAACAGCTATCAAAAGAACCTTAGGGCTATGTACTGGAGAACTTGCTGAATCCAAGTAGTTATATGAAGAAATATATTTGAAAGGTTTGTGTGCAAAGGAGTTTGTGACATGAGATAGAGAAGAGGATTAAGCCAGATTTGTCAAGAAACAGACATTTTGCTTGGCAGCTAAAAAGGTTTCGTGCAGCATGTTATGATATTTCTGTCAGCAGTGACACAGGTGAAAAGCAGATGGTTACTGTAATGAACATTTTTTGCAAGATTTTTACACTTGGCAGATAGAGTTTTAGTATCTCTTGCTGATATTCAGTCATGTTGTTGTCTAAACTTAAGGTTTTAATGACTTTAAAAGACAGCAAACAGCATTAAAAAAAATCCCCACTTCATACTGATGGTAGATTTGCTTTCATAGTTTTCTTGCAAACTTACGTGTCTTATAAAAGCTGTGAATAAGCTTTAAGAATATGTTTTGTAGCTTAATGTAAAACTTCTGTATTTCCTGAGTAGAAAATACAGTAATATGACATGGAACACTATAATTTTGTTGTTATCCACAGTCCTGAGGTCTCAAATTAACCAAATCAGTGTGATGAATGTTGTAGTTATTTTTCCTGAATACATTGAAGTAAGAATAAAAACAATGCAGTTTTTAAGGACATTGGCAAGATAATTTACCAATAATGGTTACTTCAGTTTTTATTTTTTGTGACAGCTAATTTTGTTCTAATAAAAACTAACAAATTTACTGTTAGACTTTTTAGTATTTTATTGAATTTTCTGAATCAACAATAAATATTCCTTGTAAGACAATGGATAGTAGTGCACTTTCCTCTGGCACAGCTGTAGAGAAAGTGAACTTTAGGATCTCATCTATATTTTCTGCTTTCTCAATTACCTTTTGCTGAAAGAATAGAGTCAAAAAGTAACAACAGATATTACATTTAGTATGAAAGCTTATATTTTAATGTGTTACATTAATACTTTTCAAATAAGAAGTGAAACAGCTTTGCCAGTCTTTAAAGTTAAAATGACTTTAAAAATGACTTTAAAAAAGACTTTAAAAAAAAAAAAAATTATCTGTTTTTTCACATTCACAGGACTTGGAATTACTGGCGAATGGTGACCTAACAGTAATAGGAGATCGTGGAGCCACTCTGAGTGGGGGACAGAAGGCCCGTGTAAATCTGGCCAGGCTAGTGTTTCTTGCTGTTTCTAAAATTTATAAATTGTTAGACTCCAATGACTAAAGTAAACTAATGTAAGACTTCGTGATACTGACATTTCTTTAAACCTTTTAGAGCCGTGTATCAAGATGCAGACATCTATCTTTTGGATGATCCACTGAGTGCAGTAGATGCTGAAGTTGGAAGACATTTGTTTGAAAAGTATGTTACTGCTTTATTTTAATGAGTATTGTAATTCCTTATCGAAAAACTCGAGAAAGCATTTCTGGGGAGATGGATTTCTTCATGAAACTTAGTACATTCATTTTGTGATTGGTTTTTCCCCTACTTTATGTAATTGGAAGATAGAGGGTTTTTTTCTTCCCCTCAGTGTTTTGTTGATTTGTTTTTAAAAGCCCTGTAAAAATCTGTTTTGATGATATTATAAATAGAAATATTCTTAAGGGAATATATGCCATTTTCTTTAGGAATGTTGAGTTTCATACATGAATGTTGGGGTTTATAAATAATGGGGTTTATGAATATTAGTACTGAGTGAAGAATAAAACGGGTTGGGATTTCAAGTCACTTCTTAGTATGCTTCAACTTTACTTGCTAGTAATAAGCACTTAATTCAACTGGCTAAAGGAGAGGACAGAACTGTCTTAGATTCTTGAATAACTTTTCATTTTGGTTCTTGAAATTCCTCTTGGCTGGGTGAAGCAGGGCATGTGGCCTGCAGAGTAGACTGCAGAGGGCAGAAATAGAGGGAAAGAGAATGTACAAGTTTGCTATGTAAGAGAGGGATACTGGACCTTCCCCCATTTCCAGAGAAACAGGAGAGTGCCCATTAAAAGTCAGGCTCCCTTTTCAGTGAGTTTCTTCTTCCCCATCCCCCTGAAACTGTCTAGTCTAAGGCAGGCACAGAGGTATCACAATAGTTTTGTTAGTCAGCCAGTGTTTTGTCCTTACTTCTTCACAGCTTTCAACTCTCTATGTTAAAATGCTTAACCTAGAATTTACTAGAAGGAAAAGCTTCTGTTGATGGAATTCAGTGGTTTTTGGTTGAGGCCTTAAATAAATGCATTTTGTTTAGCATATTTGCATCCTTTGAATTCCATGCTCCAAATACATGAATTAATTTGGTTTTACTATTGTTCTCTCCTGTCCGCTCCTAGATGATCATAAAAACTTGCAGAAATCTTGCAGAAGTGGTCTTAGAAACTGCACTGAGTAGCAGTGGCATGCAGATTCTTTTTTCCCCATACAGGGAAGCTTTCAGTATCAGAATTTGTAAACTGTACATCCTGGTGATGTTTGCAGTTTCAAATCTGGATACTCTGAAACCCCATTTATATTTTGCTTTATTTTAATGATGTTTTTAAAAGGCTATTGTTTGTTTCTGTCAGCTAGTATGGAGTAAGAGTTTTATGATGCATAGGCTTTATGTTCATTTTTTAGCTGCCACAGCTGAGAGATGGAGTTCATCACTTCTCTAGTTCACATACACTATCAAATTCCTTTAATGCCTGCTTAAGCTTTCTAGACTTCAGCTGCGGCTTTTCTGTTTCTGCACAAGATCTCCCTGCAACTCCAGCATCTGACTGTATCAGTGCCTGAGTTCTGAAAGTGCACCCACCTGAGCTGCTAACCTGTCTTTCCCTGAAGTCTTAAGGTCTCTTAATGAAGAGGGAGACAGGAAAGTAGCGTGGTGCCTTGTGAAGGAGGTCAGGCTGCCTCTTCAGCTTACTCTGCTTTTCATGTGAGCTGTGACATTGGCAGCATCTACATTCTACTGCAAGCCTGGAAGTGTGGATTTTTGCATGTGCAAAACCATAAAGGAGATAGAAGCCATTGCACTGTGAGCACAGCATGTGTTTTGCTGATAAGTGTGTGACGATGAGGAGGTATAAGGAGGTTATCTCAGAGAATTCGAAACTCAGACAAGTAACTGGGGTTGTTTCTGTACTTTCATTTTTTTTCTCTGCAACTTCAGATCAGAGTGAGCAAAACACAAACAAGTAGAATGAAAGCATTTTTAAGAAAATGGACTGGGTGGAGTAGTAGTGGGAAGGAAAACCGAGCAATGCCTCCCTGCACAAGATTTTAAGAGAGGCTTTTTTACAAACAGAAGTGGTCTTCTGAGGCCTTCATGGAATCTGTAAAGGTACTAGGGGTAGTGGGAAGAGTGTTATGTTCAGGAAGCTGCTTTGAAAAACAAGGCAAAGCATGTACTTTAGTGCTTCCTGAATAGTACTAAAAATGTGGAGAAGACAGAGAGCACTTGGGCAAGAATGATTTCTTAGAACATGGTGCTGAGGAATGTCCAAAACACCACTTCATGCAGGCTGCTCCCCCAGGAGTCCAAACCACGAGGCTTAAAACAATGGATGAGATGGAAGAAACAGGGGATTTTTTAATGAGAATCTGAAGTGGATATTGTTCAGTTCACTCGCTCTTTCTTTTCTTGTAATTTTATGTTAAAGTTTATTTTTTTTACAAGTGTCTAGTCCATGTATTTACATCAAAGATAGGTTATGTTCCTAGTAATTCCCCAAAGCTATGACATGTGGATGGCTGGTTCATTACATTTGCAGCTTTTTTGTGTTCTATTCAGCTACTGCAGTAAGCAGTTTAAAATATATAAATAATTTTCAAATGAGCAAGAATGCAAGTAGCACAGCTCCAGTGGGAAAACAGACCATGATATTATTAATAAGGGACTGTGGCTCTTAAGAATTTTTGTGATACAGGCAAGTTGTTCTGTGGATGATGGAGTAGATAAAGCCAGATTTTCAATTAGTTCCTCTTTCTTGTTCAGATTCCTTGGTACCTAGGAAGGTGTAAACTGAAGCTTTCCCATTTTTGTGTTATTTGTTGCCTTTTTCCGAGTTCTTTTGATAGTTAATAGTAAGCATGCTTCAGCCTTTCTCCAGTGGGGGGTTACTAGTATAGTTATATGGTTTTTTTATATATTTGTATGTGGATATGAAAAAATGCCTTTATTTTTTATTTATTTTTTAAAAAGTGGATTTTAATTTTCATTAACTTTTAAGAAATCCAGTATTTTGAGGCCTCTAGTTTCAAAATGGGGAATGGCCATCACAGATCCAGTAGCATATTTCTTTGTATGGTGAAGTTTGGAGCAGACTGAGATTTCTAAGAAAATCATGCAATTGCACTTGGATCCCAAGGAATTTCCTACTCTCCCTGTTTATCTGTGTATTGCTATAAATTATATAGTTTCAGATCACCTTTAGGTAGAAATTAAATTGTGTTCCACCAGTGGTATTGACTCAAAAATCATGTTTTTAAGAGTGAGATTTATATTTCATCAGTCTATTTGGGCATGCCTTTCTCTAGGTATTGTTCCTTCCCATGTATATTTTCCAGTGACAGGAGCTGTGTAGCAGGCTGATGATCAGCCTGATTTCTTTCTCCTTCTCCTCTGTGCTTGTGAGAGTAGTCAGAGTTGCAGGACAGGTTAGGAATCTTTTTAAATCAGACCTAAAGTTGTGATGGTTCTTGGGAGTGGTATGCACATTATTCCTAGTATCAGACAGAATTCACATAGAAAAAGTTCACAAAGACCTTACTTGAACACCAGGATCTCTGGCTCAAAAAAGTTCCTAATATAAGGACTCTGGAAGCTGTGTAAATGTGTACCAGAGGAGACATGTCCCTATGTTTGCTTATATACTTTCTCCAGCCATCCGGTGCTACCCGGTGCCTAGAACAATTAGTGCTTAGGTCAATTAATTTTGTGGACCAGTCATACTTACGTGTGACTGGGACTTGTCATGAGATGGAGATAAATGATTACCAAGGTAGATATAGAAACAGAAGCAGCAGAGTAGAACTAGAGACAGCAGAGTAGAATGTGTAGGGTGTGTGGGTTTTTTGTCTCTGGCAAGCATAGCACACTTTTTAAAAAAAATTTGTAAACTTTGAAATGTGCAAAACTAACTGGGGGATTGTTCTCAAACTACTTAAATTTAAACGGAAGGGAGAGGAAAACAAATATAGGAATGCCTGTGAGCACTTCTGCATTTGTTTTAATTTCATTTCAGTGGTTATTTTCATTGAAATGAATGTAAGTATTAACTAGAGTAAAGTTAAACTTGCATGTGAACTTCCAAAAAGGAGAAGGAGAAAGAGTGGTAAGGAAGAAAGTAGAATCATTAAAGGAGAGACATTTTGCAGAGGTAGCAGACCTGATAGGGAAGGAAGAACAAAAGAGGATTTGCATGCACGAGGTGCGAAGACTCTGCCTTTGTGCAGGGGAGCACTGTGTTGTTGTAGGCCCCCTTCTCAGTGTCTCCTGCTTCATGCTCTTCACTATCAAAGCACAAGCTAATTATTTTTTAATCATGTAGCAGTTTGCTACAGTCAAAGTGCAGTGGGTTTTTCAAATGGATTAAAGTATCCTGTTACTTAAGTTTGTTAGCTTAAAATACTCTTTGCTTATTTGTGTTGAATTGGAAGGCTGTAATTTCTGGAGAGGTCTGTCCTGATTCTGGTATTTCTGATGATGTAGGAAGGTCATTGATGGTCCATACTCAGGTGATAGAAAACCAGGCAACTCTAAAGGCACTTCTGGAAACAGACAGATATTTGTCAAGTTTTGGCTATGGGATGTGAATTAGTAGGTGCATGCAGCAGGGAAAATTGCGAAGTGTTGAGTCCATGAATGTACAATAGCAGGGATCAATAGTGTGGTAGTTACATGGAAAAGGAAGTGTAGAGTGTAGGTAGGTCACAAGCCAAGTATGACTCAGCAATGTCATGTTCTTTTTAAGGAAATGGCACCCTGGGATTTATGACCAGTACCATATGTGGCAAATCATATTCCTGTTATGTTTTGTACATAATATAGTACATAGAGATAGTACATACATATAGTAAAATAATACTGTTATTATGATTTGTACAGGTAAGGTCTCAGCTGAAATAATGTTTTGATTTTGTGCCCTTCAGAAAATGTATAGACCAGCTTCATACTCCAGTGTAGGTGGTCAGGAACGTTCAGGTGTCCATGGCAGGGAGGCATAAAAGAAAGAAGCCTATCTGCAACTTAAAAGTCTGTTTGGGAGACTTCTTTATTACTTTATTTGTTTTTCTTTCATGTCTGGAGGAGAAGGGCTTAAAGTATGAAGGGGCTTTGTACACAGGAATTAACTGGTCTAGGGGCCTTTGGGCATTTAATGGATTGAAATTGCACCAAAGGATGTAAACTTGAACTTCAGAGAAAGATTTTGTAATGGCGAGGGTAGCTTGTCCCTGGAATACATTTTCAAGGATGTTGAAATTTCTGTTTAGCTTAAACATGAAGAAGAACCCATTTAACTTCTGCCAGGAACATTTTTACGTTTAAATTGATTCTTAATTGGGGAAGAGGATGCAGCTTTCACAGCCTCTTCATCTCGCTTTTTTTTGTACTCAAGAAAGCTGAAGAACCTTTGGGTGTTTTCTGTCTGGATCTTGTGTGACTGTGTGCTTGTGTATTTAATAAATGTGATGGTGGTGACTGGAGTTTGTGCAGCAGTTTGTCCTGTTGTCATGCATTAAGTGTGCTCACAGTCTAACAAAGTGTGCCTCTTGAGAGTGCTGGACAATCTCAGGGAAGGTGAGCTCTGTGGGGCTTTAAAAGGCAGGTAAAAAGGTCATGGCAGTGCTGGGCAGGCTCCAACAGATGTCTGAGCTCTTGGACCAGCTATATCCCCTGCTGAGAAGGCTTTCCCTGGGTTTTCTGTACCATCAGTGAGAAAGGGCATGATTCACTTAGAACTGGGCTTTTCCCCTGGTTCTTCTTCAGTTATACAGAGCAGTACTTCTAAAAACAGATGGATGATGATACCTTGAGTCTCAGTGAGCCAGTTGGAAAAATAAACACTTACGGACTATTTTGGAATGTTTTGGGGTTTTTTTCTTAAATCAGTAGTACTATTTAATTCTCCAGAAGTCTCTGTGGCTCAGTGTTAGAGCTGGTGTGAAAGCTTCTCTCAAAAAGTTACTTTTACTGGCTGTATTTCTCCATAATTTTCCACAGTATCTTTCCCTTCTTTCTCTTCCCTTTAGTATAATTTTTTTAAAATACTCTCTTTGCAGTTCAGCTGATGACATCTACATTTGTTTCAAGAATGTTTAGGACAATTTTAGTGAAATTGCTTACTGCCTCCTCTTTTTTCCCAGACCAGAAATAATTCTATTTCTTTTCCCTACCTTGAAAACTTAAAAAGTTAAATAAGGAACATATTTGTTAAGATTTTATGTCTTTTTTGTAAATTTAGTAAACATGGTCATCTTCTGATTTTAAAACCTGAGTAATTGAATAGCTTTTACAGAAATAATTAAAATCTTTTAGGACATTGAATTTTAATTAATCTTTCCATCTCTTTGCAGATGTATTTGTCAGGCCTTACATCAGAAGATTTCTGTTTTGGTCACTCACCAGTTGCAATATCTCCGTGCTGCAAATCAGATTCTAATTTTAAAGGATGTAAGTGATTCCAATGTCTATACTTACACTTTGTAATTATCCTTTTTAATCTAAGAAAGGAAAAAAATAAAATTCAGATTTCAATTTTTAGTTTGTAAATGTATTTTCTGTCTACTTATGACTACATATGGTTTTTAAGTTATTAGTAAGTTGATTTTTCTTGGAATATCTTTCCTGAAAAATCTTTTTCTATCATGCATATAAATAATCTTGAATTAATAATACTTATTTCTTCAAACACTTTGTCTGGTTTTGAAATAAATTTTTAGCCTTCCCTTGCTTCAAATTTAATATACTGTAAGACTGTGTAAATGTTTTGCTTTTGTTCTTGTTTCTTACACTTCTGTGTGAATTTAGAACTGTGTTAATTTTGCAACAAATCCGTTTTTAAATTGAGGCTGAGAAATAGTCTCAGGTCCTTTGAGAATGAGCATGCCTTCAGTGCAGCTGGTTCCTTCCCATCTTCATTGTACCAGAGGCAGAGGGGAAGTGCAAGGCCTACAACTGGAGCCTTTTTTCTTGGTTTTTTTTTTAAGGCTGGGTAGTGAAATATTTGCAATTACTTTTGATGCATTGTGATGGTGCAAAAAAGGACACTGTCCCTCTTTTTCTTTCCATTCAGATTGCTTTAGAAGTTACAGTAGCTCTTGAGAAATGAGTTTGTGGTAGAGCTGAAAGGAATGTGGACATAGTCTGTGTTGCTCCTTGTAAGGTTCTGTAAGGATCAGAAAATGAAGATGGTGTTTACCCCTGGGACGGAGCAATATAAAAAGACTGATGGTTGTGTATGTGGTTTAACAGGTTGTCCTAAAGCTGAATGGCTTGGCTGTCTCCCACAACTTCTCCAGGGAGGTGGTTCTCCCCTGGCTGTAACTTGGGCTGTTCTCATCCTGTTTGTTTGTTGGCCCTGTTAGCTGCTCCAGGGTGACTGGTCAGAGCCTAAAGAGCTTGTTCCTGCTCCTCTAAGTGAGCCTCACAGAGGCTTCAGCTCAGTTACTGCAGTGGGATGTGTGCTCAGCAACTGCAGCACCCCAGAGGTAGCAAGGACAGGTCAGAAAAATTGTCCTTTTTGGAAAGTGTATAATGAAAGTACTAAAAGTTTATATTGATTGTAGGGTAAAATGGTGGGGAAAGGTACCTATGCAGAGTTCCTGAGATCTGGCATCGACTTTGCTTCCCTTTTGAAAAAAGATGAGGAGGTGGTAGAACAGCCATCAGTTCCAGGAACGCCCAACCTGAAGGCTGCCCGGAACCGAACCTTCTCGGAGTCCTCTGTCTTGTCCCAGGATTCGTCTGTCCACTCACAGAAAGATGGAGCCGTGGAACAACCACCTGTGAGTGCTCAAAGGATAGAAGTGTCTTGGTTCTTGTCTGGCTGGTTTTGAACTTAAGTTTCGATGTGGGCTTTCCCTGCAGCATTGGGATTTCAGGGATTACTGAATTGCGTTATCAGGTGAGATCAGCTCGCCTCTGGAGGAGCTGCCCAGCTGGGCTTGGCTGGCAGCTCACAGCTCAGTGTGGTACTGCTCAAACCCTTCAGTGTCAGTCTGTGCAGTTCAACATCAGCTCTGCGGGGTGCTGGGAGCTTTCCTTGGCTGTGTCCAGAGCCACCACACTATGCTTCTTGCAGTCTGTCCTCTGACAGCAGTGCTTTAAAGTCCCACTGTATTGGGGGGGTTCACTGTGTTTGTGGAGTGTTGAACTGAAATGAACACTTCCCCTGAAATCCTGAGCTCTGAGAAGTGCATGTAGAAGCTGTGGCTTTATGCAAAGTCTGTGTTTGCATGGCTGGCATCCACATACCCATAAACATACCCACATGATCTTGAGCAGCTCACAGGATTACCCTGCGGGGGTAATCCTGGGACACCACTGCCTTGCTCTCTCTAGCCCTTTTGTTGGTGAAAACAGAAGGCTTTATATGGTGCCAGTGTGACTTCCAGGTGCCTCCTTATCTCTTGGCCTGCCCAGTGCAAAAGCAACCCTAAAGTTTCTCTACCAGAGGTTGCCTTCTGCTGGTGTGTTTGTGTTCACATCAAACAGTGCAGGCTCCCTGTAACCCTGCTAGGCTTGTGCTAGCACTGCATCCATGGAACAAGCAATCCCTGTATGTCCCTGATGACTGACACCTTTGCTGTGGGTATCTGTTATTTCTGTTCCTTCTCTATGATGAAAAGCAGTGAGATTATAAAAAGAAAGAAAAAAAAAAAAAAAGCTATGGACTTTTTAGTACCTTTCTGAGGGATGTTTTTTTTGTTGCTCCAAAGTGCAGTAAACTTAAATTATTAATGTCCCAAAGGCAACTCCACTCTTAAATTCTCTTAAATTTGTATCCACAAACAGTGTACCAAACTTCTTAGCAGCATTAAGACTGTTGGATGGGGAGAAGTGGGAAGGTGGGGTGGCTGGAGAAACAAAAAGCTGAGATAGGCTTCTCACCTTTTATGGATGAGTAGGTTGGATTTCTCTTTTCATGTCTGTCAGGTGTCTCGATCCCACTGCTCTTGTACAGGCATGTCTTGTGGCAATAAAATCAACTGTTACATGTCCACTGAACTGACACAAGTTTTTATATTTTATATACAGTGTATATTGACTACACTGTAAAAATTTAAAAGAAAAAATCCTGAGTTTATTAATTTCAAGGAGATGATTAGAACTTTATGGATAATTTTTAAGTCTTGGGTATATGTTGGTTCATTTTGGTACATACTTGTAAAAGAGTGTTTACCTTAAATGCTTTTCTGGAAGGGAAAGGTTGCCCACATTTGTATTCTGAAAACAGAATCTTCCCCAAATTTAATTTCTGGAGCTGTTACAAGTAAAGGTGGTATATAAGAAAAGAAGAACCTGGATAGTGGTCAGAGTAAATATTCCTGGCTATATATGAAGTTGTGTTATATTTGGTGATGCAATGCCAAATAAAATCCTTGAAATGTTGCTTTGCAGAGTAGATTTTTCAGTATTAGTGCACTGAGACTATTTTTTTTTGTCATAGCTGTAGTTCTGTATTTAAAATATAAAATTTTTGTATGCATAATCACTTTATCTCCTTGTTTAATTGTTTGCTAAGTCTGAACCATGACTTTCAAGTGGCGTAATCTGAATCTGTAACTACGAGGTTGATGGGGTTTATTCTGTGGATTTTTTCTTTCAGGGTGAAAATGCACTGGCTGCAGTTCCAGAAGAGAGTCGCCATGAGGGAAAAATAGGCTTTAAAGTTTACAGAAAATATTTCACTGCAGGAGCAAACTACTTTGTGATTTTTATACTCTTAGTACTTAATATTTTGGCACAGGTAAGTCGTTGGAAGTCACAAATAATACTGAAAGTATTTTGGGTTTGTGAGGATTCCCCCCTCCCATGCCTTTTTTTTCTTCTTTTTTTTTCTTCTTTTTTTTTTCTTTTTTTTCTTCTTATTTTTCTTCTTTTTTTTCTTTTTTTCTTTTTTCTTCTTTTTTTTCTTCTTTTTTTCTTCTTTTTTCTTTTTTTTTCTTATTTTTTTTCTTATTTTTTTTTCTTTTTTGAATATAGTGCATACTTGTTGCTGTAATGTTTCATCTAAAATGTTTGGGTGTTCTTTAATAATTTTGTAGTGTACGCAAGTGTCAGCATGGAATTGTTGGTACAGCATTGAGAGGTCTTGCACTTATTTCAACTTAATACCTCACTAAAATAATTACTTTGATGACAACATGGCACAAAAAATGATAAGCCAGAGTACTTTGTTTAGAAAGAGAAGAAAATCATAAGGTGTATAAAAGCATTATAAAAGTTTAACAAGCCTGAACAGTCAGAATGTTTCCAGTTGAGGAGGGTAAAGAGATTTACTGGGTGTGGGAGGACAGAGTCTGACCGAAGTGTTCGAAGAACAGCTCACCTCTTGATAAGTGCAGACTATGAGGAAAGTTTAGATGGAGGATCACTGTTTAGCAGAGTGAGAAAGTGAGGAGGAGTATAGGCAAATACCTTGTGTGATGCAGACTGTAGCAGGTATATAAAAAAAAATTTAAACAAGGAAAGTTATTTACAAACTTACTGAAAGCAATGGTGAGCTGAGGAAGCTGAGTGAAAATACCTTATTGCCTTTTTCTCTGTTTCTTGCTGAGAATTCAGATTAGTTTTGTGGAAATTATTTCTCTTTGCTGTAAAAAAATAATCCATATATTTTAACATCTTGCTTGTCCTTGCACTGAGTTTCTTGGAAAGGTAGCTAAGCAAGATCAAATCTCTGTAGTAGACTGCCCACAACTTCAAATTCACATGAACAGAAGTGTATTTTGAGATAATAACCCTGTTACATGTTTGTAGTCACCTCTTGTCACAGAAGGAAGGTGGCAGAAGGAATATTTCCCTCCCTCTCCTTTCTCATCCTCCTTCAACCCTGTTTCTGGTAATTATCTTGTGTAAACACAAATTTCTGGACTGGTAACATCAGAAAGTTTGTTAATCAAAAAGAATTTTGGAATATCTCTTGTAGCAAATTTAGGAACTGAGAAAATGAGTTCTTTAATGTTCAATTAACATACATTAGGAAGAGCTACTATATTTTGTTTACTAAAGTGTATTGCTTTCCTTTAGTTTGCTAACATGTAAGGTAATTTAAGGTAACTTCTTTCTTTGTAGAGCACCTTCTAATGTGCTTGGCAAATTGCTGCTGGTCTTGAAAGACTGGATGGCATACTTTTCTGAATATGTTATGTTTTCCCAGAGAGCTTGAAAGAATAGCAAGGAAATTTAATTTTCTAATTTTTTTTTAATTTTGTAAGATGATTCTTGTATTTGCCTCTTTTGCTCAAGGTGGCCTATGTGCTCCAGGACTGGTGGCTTTCTTACTGGTAAGTTGATGATAACAACTGGCTGGTGGTTTCTGCCTTTTCAGTTAAGTTCTGTTTGTTTAATTGAAAAGGAATGGAACCTGTTCTACAATAGTTCAGGTCTTCCTCTGATTTCCACCTCTTTTGTGGGGGAAAAAAATTTAAACTTTATGCTGAGTGTGGACTCTAATTGCATCTATTCATGCTGTGATGCATGGCAGCATCGATGCATGAGATCTTTTGGACTAAAGATTTCAACAGAATTGAATCTAGAAACAGCTAAACACACTTATTTGATGATGGTTACCTTCTGTGTGCATTTCCACAGGGCAAATAATCAAAAAAAGTTGAATCTCTCAACAAATGGAAATAATGGAACGAATGCGACCGGACCTCTAGACCTTAACTTTTATTTGGGAATTTATGCAGGTAATTGCACATGCACCTGTGTGTGTCTAAGAACTGTTTATTATCTGATAGAGAGTTTCGAGAGGTGCAAAGAAATGTGTGGGGAAATGTGATTTCTAGCAGTAACTGAGCAATATCTTCTAACAGTTTAGAAGCCTGAGTCTTGCTTTCTGATTAAATAGGTTATAATATATTTATTATAAAATACATCTGACAGAAGAAAGAGGTTGAATGCAGAGTCTTTAATTGCTTTGCCTGGATTTTGGAGAGTAAATCAGGAACTGAGTGTTTCTAAAGTCAGTCACATTAAGGTTGTGCTTATTGTCTATATATTAGTAAGTCATTGAGCTGAATCTTCAGTCATTATATGGATGGCAAGAGGGATTAGAAATGGATGTTTGTTCTGTGGTGTTCTAAAACTTGGCATGGCTATGTTTCTTCTGAAGTGCCATAGCAAAAGAACAAGTTTTTAAAAGCCATACTAGATGGGTATGCAAAGCAGGTTGTTAAAAAACATTTCAATATATTTCAATAGGTAGCATTATGCTTCTGAATATTCAGAAAAGGGCGTTGATCCTTGCATGCAGGCATCCAAACATCTTGAAAAACTGCTCTGAGATGTAGTAAAAATTGCCACAGAAAAATCATGTGCATGCTCTCAGATTCTGCTGTTTAACACTCCTAGTGATGTACGGTTTTGTATGGCATGGTAATTTCTTCATGGAGATGTAAATGACTGGTGTGAGAAAACAGGTGGAATGCCAGAAGAATATGCATTGAATGCATTCAGAAACATCTCCATGGGTGAGAGAATAGGTGCAGGATTTTTTGTTTAGTTTGTTTTCTGGAATCCACGTGACCTTAGTGGCTGACAGAAAACGTTGTGTTTGGCCTGGAAAGCAGCAATTTAGGAGCCAGATAAACTTGGCTCTTATTTTCTCTGTGTAATGTCTTATTTCGTGAACTGTTCCAGTGGACTGCACAGTATGATTAAATGTGGAAAATTTCACTTTCTCTGACCAGACAGCCTAAACCACATTAGTGAAAATTTTATCCTTTAAGGAATATTTTGCTCTAGATAGCTGAACAACAAAAGCTATCTTTATATTGAAGTGTTTAGATGACTTAGTGAGATATTTGCTATGGTTGAACAGACAGCATTGACTTACCTACACAAAATTGTAAGTGAAGCTGACAAAGTTATAAAAAGAAAGTATTTTATATGAAATATGTAATAATCCAACTTACCTTTTTCTGTAATCTCTTAAACAGTATAAAACAATTTAACATGTTTACTTCTGATTTTGAATGTTTGATAAAACAAAAAAACCCCACTGTAGTATTTCCTTCTTAGTCCTTGTTGCTTCTGTGAGACAAAGGTTTTGAAGAGTAAAATTGCTGTTAATAGGGAACACTATTGTTGGCCAGAGCTGAGGTACCAATTCTACACCTCTTCTGTAAAGAAAACATTCAAAGGGCTCTTATCTCTCTCATATGGAGCTTCTGAGCTCATGAGCAGGAAAGCAATGAGTGAAGGACTCATAAGCGTGTCTTGTTCCTCCTTCTCTCCAGCTGTTAGGTCTTTTCAGGAGTTTTGTTCTGGGAGGGTCATACCAACAGCTGCTTCCAGGCCTGAGTAAAGTTGTACAGAAAAGTGGGGTTCCCAGGATGTGGTCCCTTTCCTCGTGTCACTCCCACAGACTGCTGCTAGGAGTGGGCTGTGCCATGGCCTCCTGCTTTGTGCCTCTCCTGCTCCCTTCTTGCATGACCCAGCTTTCCTGTTCGGGTATATGCAGTTACTCTTGGAAGAATTGTCTTCTTCTGCCTGGTCTGGAATACAGCAGCTGGGTCAAGGCAAACAGACTCTCGTCCCAGCCATCATCTTTTTTCTTGAAAACACCACCTCACAGAATGTAAGCAATTAACTGCAAGCAGACAAATTAAATAGTGATGATATGTTTTTTTGCTCCCTGGGAGAATAGAGAAGGAGACAGGATGGCATAGCTTAACCATGTCACATAATTTAAAACCTCCCTCTTTCTCACTGTTGCTATAGCTGCTCCTGAATTGTGCATGATTTTAACCTGCCCTTAGAATAGGCAAGGTTTTCTGCTGATAGTTGTGGTCTAACTTCAGTGTGTCCTCAAGACCTGAGGTAGCTTTGCTGATTTTCTGAGGCAGATCATGTGGAGCCTGGAAGCTTGCTAAATGCAAGGTTTAGACCTTCACTGTTCACCCTTCTTGACAGGGAATTTGGGCAGCCCCATTGGAGATTATGCACAGCATAAACAGAGCAGCAGCAATCTCATTATTTGTTTCAGTTTTTTGCTGTGTAGCGCCCTTGTCTTGCCAGCAGAGTTGTGCCCAGAAGAGAGACAAAAAGCCTGCGGACTAGTTCCCTAGAAGGACTTTCACGTGACATAAGGAATGCATTTTACAAAGTGTGAAAGACATGCAGTTTAAATGATTTGGTGTGTTTTACAAGGGGAAGAATGGCATGAGTGGTTTGGGCTGATTTGGAGTTGGTTGTCTCTAAACAGCCATGTATATATTACTTGTTTAATACCTGCTGGCAAGTGTTGAATCTTCACAGTGACCTCCGCAAGCCACAATTGTACATGGCACTGTGAAATTAATTTTTTAGTAACGCTGTTATGCAGAAAGTTTTAATACACATTTATCTCATGGGTTAACAGATATTTCTTACATTTCTATGAAGTACCAATTCTTTCAAAACAGAAAAAGAGACACTGATTAAATGGCTTCTGTGATAATAACTGAAGCTAGTGACAAATGTATCTGTGCTCTGCACTCAGTTTGAGTCCCCCTAGGCTTGGATTCTTGCTATATGCAGAAGTCCAGAGAATTTGTTTTTAGTGCAGTTTTATTTTTAACTTCTTTTCTTCTTCTGAAAGATCCATATCTTTTTGGAAGCTCTATTCATGGTTTGTTTTTGGTTTTTTTTCCTTTCAGGTTTAACAGTGGCTACAATACTATTTGGCATAATAAGAAGTCTTCTGGTGTTTCAAGTTCTGGTTAATTCTGGTCAGAATTTGCACAACAAAATGTTTCAATCCATTCTGAAAGCTCCTGTCTTGTTTTTTGACAGAAATCCTATAGGTAAGTTTATTAGTAAAAAAAACAACAACAAACCTTGGTATTTAATGTATCTTCTTGATTGCACAAATTGTACCATTTCCGGACAATTACAATTTGATGGTATTTTTGCACTTTTGTTGGGTTCTTTTGCTTCTTTTCCTGAGACTCTCTAAATCTAAATTTTACTTAAACACTTGAAATTTAACAGTGTAGTCCTTTTCAATTTCAAACTCCGACAGCTTATTGATGTTTCATCTTACTGTCTTTAAATGCAGCTTACAGAACAATGAATTAGCTGCAGCTTTGGTGTTGTACATTGACTTGTATTTGCACTGCTGTTTTGATGCAGTTTCACAGGGTGTCTCCCATATGCTGAATATGAGTGCATTTTGTAAAACTGTGATCCAGATCCTTATGTTCTTCAAAAGAAGGGAGAGAGAAGCTGGAGCAGAGTGAAGAGGGGGGGGAAGTGGATGGTAACTGATTGACTAGCCAAAGTTTTCTCTTTTACATGAGGAGCAGAAAACTGATGGCCTTCACTCCCTTGGGCTAAAAATGGACATGGGCTTGTTCTCATAGCACCAGAAGGCATTTAATTAAAGAATATATAGGGATGGCTTTATTGCTTCAGTGAAAGTAGTAATATTTTCAGGAAATGGATACCGATGTGGAGAAAAGGTTCATGTCCATGATATGATGAATGAAATGTGTACAATTTAATCTTAATAAATACCCCTATAACTGCAGAAGTTTAGATCTGTGTTACATGGCCTGCTTGTAATGTGAGTGTGTGGAAATGTATATCTAAGGACACTGCAAAGGATTAGAAGGGAAGTCCAGGAAATGGGTTAATGGTGAGCTTGTGAGAGCACATACATGAGGAGAAATCCTAGTGCTGATGTGTCGGGGATTTTCCTCTAGTCTCTCTTGTGTATGTGTGCACAGCAAGTGCAGTAATTTTGTTTTTGAGAGAATACGTAATGATCTTGTAAGAATGCCCCTAAATCTGGCTCATAATAACAAATTTAAGAACTAGAGAGGAAACATCAGCAGCAATGCAGAGTAACACCAGTTTGCTTTGTAACACTGTGAAGCTCTAATTAGCAGTGCATTGTAAAACTGGCATTCATAAAACTTGCCTGTCGCTGGTATTCACACACTGTTGTGACTTAGATATGTGTTTCTGTTAATCAACAGATGCTTTATAATAGAAGGTTAACTTCAGGATGCGTATATTTCCTTACCTTCACCTTTCTTTTGGTCAAGGTGGCATGCAAAAGTACTGCTGTTCTGATCTCTGCATTATTTGAAAAAGGAAAAAATGGGAAGAGAAAAGATGACACATGATACGCCTATGAAAGACATACTAAAAAGAAATTGAAATTATTAAATGTGCCTTTTTCTAGGGTTGTGATTGTAATAGCTAAGCCAAACTATTAGTTATCATATCCTGTATTAGCAAAGCTAATATTGCAATGTCAGATCTGTCATTTAAGCATCCAGCATGTTCTCAGTATTAATGTGAGGTCTCTTCAGCAGAAGCAATTGCTGAACTGAATTTTGCTGTTTTATTTATCAGAAAATAATCAGTAATTAAAAAATGCCACGGCTAGTATTTTGAACACATGGTGATCTGTGTTCCAGAGTTGAGGAAGGAAACTTAAATAAATAGACATCCCAAGCTCTTGGAAGTTCTTACTGGGGAAGCAGAGTAACGAGGAGCATCAGAGAGTCGACATTAGGAAATGGAAATGCGTGGTGAATCATGACATGTCTGTCAGCTCCCAACAGTGTAGATCCAATCAGTCTTGGTGAATAAATGAGATGACTTATTTCTAAAAAAATTATACTTTGTGAATCAGTTTAGGCATGAGCCCAAGATCTCTCTTTACAGATTGCACTAGCAATATCTGGGGAGGGAAAAGTTGTAAAGGGAACTAGCATTTTACCCAGATGATAGAAGACTGTCAATGTATTTTTGGAAGCTGGATTACACAGCAGAGAGAGGAAAGGAATAAAAGGACCGCTCTCCTGTCTCCCTTCCCAGGCAAAAATATTTGTATATACACAGATTCCACCTTTCTGTAATTTGGCATAGGTCTAAAAATAGTTAAACATTACTGCATATTTTGCATTGGAAGAACCTTATTAATAATTGACTGTCTCTCTTTCTTTTTCCTTCTTAAGTATTTAGCCTAACCCTACTGAGCTGATAATCCTAAGTGACCAAAGTGTATTGTCTTACCCAGCATTCAGAAAAATTTGCCATTTATTTATGACTGAAATACCAGTTTATCAGCAGATATCTCTACTGCATCACTTACACCGCTGTTGTGAAAGCTTGATGAGTAGTTGAAGTGTTAGTATTTTGGGTTTGAGTTGTCTGCATTTGTTCACAAAACTTATTTTTTTGAAAAAAAAATTTGAAGAGTAGAATTTGGCTGTCTGGAAACTTCCTTTGCTCTTCTACCCATATCCCAGTAAGGGAATGACATGAATGTCAAAGTATCTCTAAAGTAGGAAGATGTGGACGATTCCTATTTCCTGGTGAATGCTTTATGTATTGCTCTTCTCATGTCACTTGCAGGAGTAAAAAGGGGTTGGTTTCTGTGCATGTCTAGCACAAGAGGGCAGCATGATCTGTTTTATCCCAGTTGAGCATTACAGCGGCCTCTTAGAAGGATAACAAAATTCATCTGTTATGTTTTTAGAGATGATATTTGAGGAGTGAATTTTCAACCTCTCTGCTGAGCAATAGTAATGTGGTTCCATTCAGTTGTCTTCATTATTTGCAAGAGTAGTATTTTCTCCTGATCTTTTGCACAATAAGCTTTTCAGCTTCATGTAGTGCTGAGTTCAGGACCTTTTTTCATTTTGGAAATAGTGGCCAAAAAGTCAGATAACCCTCTAGAGTTAGAAGAGTCCTGAAATTAGTTTCCTATTGAATAGTTCAGAGGATCCTACTTTTGACAAACTTCAGGATTTGATTCAAGATTACTTGCTTAGCTTGTGAATGAATTATTCTTTTCTGGGATTTAGGGACAGAGATTAGAAAAGTGATGCTAATGTGTAACTGCATCATTTTCAGTTATGGTGGTTTTAGTGCGAATTCTGTGTAATTTTGAATTGCATTGAGTTTAGGAAGCTGAAATCTCCTGCTGCTCTGCTGATGGGTGCTATAAGAAGGAATGGATGATATGCATTAATTTCTTCAGATAAAATAGAAATCGCTTCCCCTTCTAGAGAATCTGTGTGAAATTTAAATTAAACCAGAATCACTACACAAGCACAGCTTTTTTTTTTTTTTTTTCCCCCTGAGTTGTATCTCCCCAAACTCTTGGTTCTGACACTTATAGGAGGAAAAGAAATATTTTGGCAGACTTTACAGCATTTCTGACCTTCTTAGAAATGGGAAGCACTGAACTGTATGATGGTTATCCTCGACCTGTTAAATTAGCCGATTTGTTTTCCCCCCACAAATGCTTTGTGGAAGCATTAAATAAACATTGATCCCTTTGGGTGCTTACCTAGACTTTGAGATTTGACCAAGTTACGGAGAGAAATACTCTTTTTTGGTTTTGGCAGCCAGAAATGACATGCTGAACTGATAGCTAATAACAGCACATGAAAGCAAACTCCAAATATAAAAGATTAAAATGTGAAAGAAAGCTGTTGTTATAATGAAGAGTTTGTTTTTCTTTAAGGCATAAGGATTTTAATTATGGTATTCATAAATTGAGTGCTGAAACGCTTATAATTTGACAGAGAAAGTTTCTTTATAGGATTAAAAGCATGTTCATCAATGCACAAGTGACTATCTGCATTTTATCTGACAGAAGTGTCAAATGGGCAATGTTGTTAAAGTGTTTCAACCATATAATATTTGCAACGAATATGGTATTTCAGCAGTCTGAAAATTACAATGCTGATAATGAGGTTGTTAAATTATACTTTATCAGATGGATAGTGAAACTGCTCTAGTTAGTGTACATTAATGTATGCTTGTTCACACAAGTGATTCTGCTGAACAAGTAGCGTGTTTAAACAAGAAATACTGGTCTTAAACTGTGTGATTTACAGTAGGTGGTGTTTTGGCATATCATGCAGTTAACCAGGCAAAGCTTCATGTTAAGACCTATCTTTCTGATGCAGTTTTCACATATATCCTTGTGGTCAAGATGAATTCTGCAGGGTTGCGAAAAACTGTACTAGCTCTTTTGACAGCTTTCATGTTCTCTTAAGCTAATACAAAAAAATACATTGTCCTTAAAGCAGCAGAGGCTTTGTTTTCGACTCTGTGCCAGGCTCTAAAGCGCATTCACATGTGCACAGGTTTGTTAGTTTACGTTGAAAAGAAGTCCCTATAGGACAGCCTTTTGTTGTAAAATAAAAACACAGATTCTCTCTTCTGTGTTGGTAATCACTTGCATTTGTTGTTATTAAGATGGCAACACAATGGGTTCCATCAATCATCAAGATCCTTAACAACCACACAACGTTGTAAATATTATGTTTGGGTGTTTGAGTGGAACAGCTCGTCACTGAAGTAGGTGTGGTAATTAAAACCTGTTAGGTTGCTACATGTGTTAAAGAAAAAAACCCTTTAATGTTTTTTTCATATAACAATGGCGATATGTACTTTAAATCTTATCAGGGTGTGATTATTAAATGATATTTTATGGGAGTTGCTCATTTACTGTTAGTATTATCATGGCTTTGTTAAGAGTTTAAATAGTCTTATGCTTCCATGTGTTTTATCACCATTATGATTCTGTCAAGAGCCTTACAAAGTTGATTGCTATAGGAGTAGTCTTTAAAGTCAGTAAATGGCACTCTGGAGTTATGTTTACATTTATTATCTATTAGCGTAACTCGATTCAACTCTATCCTGTTCTTTTCAGCAATAGTAATTGACTGAAACTTGGCCATAAACCGATGAGACAAGCCCATTACATTTTCAGTTCACCGAGTCAGAGCTCACCCCATTTATGCCTAATATGGGAGATAAAATTAAAAGCTTT